AAAATCGTTTAACTTAGGGTAGATTAGGACTCAAAATGTGAGAAGTCTGTGGATAATCGCTCTCGGAATCTAACATTTAAGAAATCGCATCTAATGATCGTTTGAACTGCTGCACTGAGTTCACTTTCGCTATATGTTCCGGCAAACCGGTCTAGACATTTACCACTCGCCGTTCCAAGCACAGAGAACTCGCCTCGTATCTGGAACCACAAGCTTGTATTGGTGTCCGCGTGTGCTCCAAAACGTTCGCAAGTGAAGTAGTGGCCTTAGTATTGGGAAGTGGCCTACATGTAGAACCCGGTAGGTCATGATGAGGTCGACGCGTAACCGACGGTATGCCAGGGTGAACAGTCCCAGTTTCTCGCAGCTGTCCTCGTAACTTAAGTTTCGCAAACTGGGGATGCGCCTAGTAGCAACGTGTTGAACCCGTTCAATCTTCTGTGCCTCGCCTGATTGGTTTGTGTAGCTGGACAGTTGTAGACCCTTGCACCTCCGTTCGCACGTAATTTCCCTGTCTAGCGACAAAGGGCCTCTTGATGCGCTTTGATCCCTGCGGAATGCGGAAACAACCACAATGGGGGACTTTTGCTTCGGTACATTTTGATTCACATTGTGGCCTCCATTAGCTGTGTAGCGAATTCGGAGTTCACATCTGTCATTTGCATTTTCAACCTTTTTGGTAGCTAATCACGAGTTCAGCTGCTTGTAACATTCACCTACAATGTGCTCTGATGTGATTTCTGGTTAAAGTTCATAATCTGCTTGAATGTTTAACTTCTGTGTCAGCATCTCTGTCAATTGCCGCCGTGTTTCCTCAAACACTGACAGCTGGACCTGAAGGAGCGTCTGCATTTACTCCGAAGAGATGCCTGTATACTGGAGTGACAGTGTTCGAGTGGAAGTCACGAACATAAGCAGCTGTGAGGCCTCGAATTGTTGCTGCTGTTGAAGCAAAAGAGCTTTCAGATTTTCTGCCGAGATTATTATCTTGAATAACTCTGCTCGCGTCGCAACCATCGCGACCGATTTATCCGAATTGGCGTTCGTGTTGTAAGCACGCGAAAATTTACAATATGTAGGTTTGTTTCCCCTCATCAGTACGCCACTTTAGCCCGATGATGGCACATTCGAGGTGCTCATGGTCAGCTGGATCGATATCCAGACGAATATTGACCCAATCACCTCTCGATCTACTCAGTATTAGCTTCGGGCTGGCAGCGTTGGCAAAAGTTACTCAGCAGCGCTTTTGCCGAGGCGGATAATTTGCTTCAATTTCACCCCGTCCTCACCCACATCGAGGAGCCTATCAACCAGGCTCTGTAGAAACTACATCATGATCATAGCGTGCCTGAGGACTTGGATCGTTGGACTCAGGCGCGTGAAAAAGCATCAGATTTAATCGCTTCATGTCGTTCAAAGTGGTCCCTGTGGGAGAAGGGTGGACCCGAGCTTTGCTTGATCTGGACTGTTGGTGGTCAATAGCAAGAAGCATTTCTTCGTTTTGTGACTTCTTCCGTCGTTGAGTTTTCCACGGTTCCTCATGCATCAAACATTCCTGTGCGTCATTAGAGTTAGCAGAGCACAGTCAGTGGATCATAAACCCCAATTGGTGTCTTGTGTCCGGAAACATTAGGATGTCGAGGTAATGAATTGTCAGAGGGAGTTTAATGGGAGGAAGGCTGCATTGAGGCTTGCATGGACTCCAGGCCGGTTTGCAGGATGGTAAGTCTATGACTACTCATGGTTAAACATTTTGGGTAGCGATCCGATTCGGTACACGTTATACGTTTCTCTGGCTGCCATAGACTGCGACATTTATTATACAAAAATTGGAGGAAATCCTATTGAATGGAACGCATAAAATGACTGGAGTTAGCAGGTAATCCCACACACGAAATATGAAATCTAGCACAAGGATCAAAGTACGTAAGGACAATTGTAGTGCTTCCCACAATTTTCGAGAAGGAACTATAAGGTGATTTCTTCGACAACTTGGAAAAGGGATGTAAAAGTGACGTAAAATGGTAAAGTAGGATTTGAAAAACGGAACTACGAAATCTGTGGAAAGATATAACGCAAAATATGATCTAGAAATTGCAGATTCCGAAAGGAAATGGAATGATTCCGAGTAGTAAGTGCCTGGAACGGTTTGTCGGAACATATAGTGGAAGCGAACTCAGTGCAGTTATTCAGAAGACCAATGGAGGTGCATCTCACAAATATTAGATTTCGTGAATGATTATGCACAGCCATCTCGCATTGTTGAGACCTAATCTACTGTGGGTTAAACGATTTTCAACAATAAAAAGTCAGAACGTGAAAAACGATTAGCGTATTGACATGTCATAAATTGCTTTTTTAACGTTTTTGAGCATATGTCGATGGAGTTGCACAGATTCAAATTTCTACTTGCTCCCATAATACAGTATATAGAGTAGTGGGAACTTTGGTATAATTGCATGATTCATCGCGGTCCCTCTCAGTCAAAAGGCTTTGACACGTCTATAAAAGCACCACACAGCGCTGTTTCGGTCTTCTGGGTCTCGTCAGTGGCGTGTCGTGTTCCGAACCCATGACTTCCGGATGCCAGTAGCTAGTGCCATTAAGTCATGGGTGACGGCCGCGAATCTGCATGACTGACAGTTGACTACGATATAGCCTGGCTCATCCATTATGACGGTAAATCCACAAGAGAATATCCTGATAACGCAGCAACGGAATAAGAAACCGGAGGTCCCTTTGGCTTGCTGTAAATCCACATAGCTGATGACGTTTTGGAGGCTAAATCAAGATTTCGCTACCATGGTGGCATACTTTCCACCGACCTACAGATGGCGAGCAAACCGAATCCGCGTATCAAAGGCGGCTGCTGCATTTGGGAAGCTGATGGTAAACAAGTCGATGAATCTGCCCGCTCTTCCCTACAGCAGCGAAACCTGGACACTGTACTGGAAGGATGTCCGTTATTTGCAGCGATATCAACAATATTGGCTACGTCGAATTTGGCGCATCAGAATTGCAAACACAAAAGTGCTCCGTAGCAGCAGCCTTTATGCAGTCCACAGCATGCATATATATATATATATATATATATATATATATATATATATATATATATATATATATATATATCAGGATCGAGTGCATAGTGCTGTAGCACATGCGGTCGCGAGTGCCTGAGTCAGGCAGGCCTAGTGAGCCACGAGCGAGGCAACTCAAAACCAGCATCAAAAAGACAACGGTGTTGATGAGAACATAAGCAAAACCGGCGCAGCATTCGTAAGTACGCTGCATTCGATTTACTAACCAAGAGTTTGCATGCTGTCGCTTTATTTCAAGTGGTGGGTTTGCTATATTGTCCTAATGCTTTTTATCCCATATTAATGTCTATCTGAACTATCTACCATGAACTTGCACACATCGCTTAAGCTAATTGTAGTTAACTTCGATAACATTTTTGCGTTTGTGGCATCTTCTCAAAATATTTTTTCTGACTTCTTGAACCTTTCAGGGATGTTTCGTAACCAATTTATTTTATACGCTCATTTAGTGAAGAGTTATTTTACCGCGTCTGTATGCATTAATCGAGTTAGTTTATTTGATAATATCGTCACAAGTGATTGGCTGCTGGTTGATATCCCCGGTGTGGCTGCGATTGATGTGCAAGTTGACAAGGTGCATACCCGTCTATGACCCACTACCACGTCCATACTGGCTCCAAGAGACAGGGGACGGGGTGCACGGTCCTTGTGGCCGTGTTAGGCTCGAAGAGTGGTTTTATGAACCTGGTTTGTACATGGAATGAGCTACCGCCTAACCACGGTCTTGTGTGCGCTTGATTCCCAAATACAGCGTGCTTTTGTTTGCCTGTGAAGGAGTGTGAGCCGGCTCCGTTGATGAATCGTAGCTCCCATCCACATGCCTCCTCATCTTATTCCTTCGGGTTTACACTTGATATGGGGTGTGTGGTTGGAGCTGTGGGTGGTGCAGCGCAAGCCACCCATGGTCCCTCTGTAGGCGCAAGGGTCCTGTGGCTGTCCGAGTGGAGGCCGCAGTGACATGCAAATCTGGAAACGGATGCCGCCAACCGCTGGGAAAGATACTGATGTCGAAGATGACTGCCCTCTAACCATCGAACGGTATAGTTATCTTTCTCGGAGCTCAATAGGCAGCAAAAGAACGCGAAACATCGGGCCACGTTATAGTGCAATAAAATGGTTAAATTAGTACTGGCCCTGGAGGACTTTGCTTAGATAGCTTCATCGCCACCGAATGGGTCATGGTGTGCATCAGGAATGTTTAAGTAGTTTGTAAAAACATCAGGACGCTGTGGAAACAACGAAACAGCAGTATGTCAGTCTGACACAACCAAGGACAATGTTTGGGACAACGGCGACCAGCGTGCTTTATGAACACCAAAAGACTACGAGTTTTCAAAAGCCATGCAGGGGTGGTCATGCACAGAGAAAGCAGCGATTGGGTAATGATAAGCGTGCAAACTAATGCGTGGTAATTCACCATGTAATGTCCCACAGAACCCTCCAGTGGACTTAGTAGATCATGTCATTCGGATGCATTCTAGGCAGCATCAACGAGCATTGTTTACCTAGACCGTGATTAATCAGGCGAAGATACAGAGATCAAGCAATGAGATGGCGGCAAGATGTGAAGAAAGGGACAATGAGATGGAATCAAATGAGTGAGCAATTTCTTCTTCCCCAGCGTGCGCAATGTGACCGGCCAAATTAGTCTAGAAAGGAGCTATAATCCCAATATTCGGCTCTTTGCGTCTAACAAACACCTTTAAACATACAGGGAACATTTGCATATTGCCGATTTTTCGTTCTCCAACCTTTGCAGTAATATTTTTATGAGAACATGTATTCTTTCAACTGGACCTGCTACGCTAAGTTGCTTGGACCAAATTCGATGCGATGCACGGCCTGATAAATTAACGCGATAATGTAGGTCACGTAAAAGGAATGTCGATCCTAACTCACCTGTTCTGGAGGACTCCCGGTGCTAAACGTCTGCCAAGGTCCTGGAACTCGAGGAACAGCATTCTGAAAGACTGCTCCTGTGACATGCGGCGGTGCTATACAAGGCGTAATTGGAAGGAGGAAATGACTGAAGTGAATTTCGTAGAAAAAATGAGGTGATTCGACGTAGACAACAGATGCAATTCAGTTAGATATGCCCAAGAGAGTAGAGTGTAAAATAGCAACCGTGAAGCTGTCGCGGGTAATGGGGAATAGAAATTGTGGACATGACTTACGTAAAAAGGTGGATGCGTTAAACGTTGAAAGAGATGATCCCAGGACTTCTTGGTCATCATCAAAATGTGTCCAAGCGTCACGACCGAGAGACTGTTTATCCATTTCAACAAACAAATGTCAACGTAGGCATACAGTAGAAAATGTAAGCGTAAATCTTCAAACTTTCGCAAGATCTGAAATGACATAGTGAGTTTACAGATGCAGCCGAATGCCCACCGAAAACCACGATTGCAAATAAAGGAAATACCTTACTTGCAAGGATAGTCGACAAAACCCGTCCTGTCCATTGTCCAGATGCAACAGTGTGAAGAGTCTCAGTTAGAGCTCGTGTCCCACTCAGAATAAGAAGAGAAATGAACGATCGTGACAGGGATATAATACTAACAATCGGGCTAAAAAGCAGTGGGATAAATGTAGTTCTGACAGAGTGGAATCACGCTGAAAAGCGTTAACCAGGTACTGTGGCTCAAAAGGTAATGCAGAGCGACCCTAAGTCGGGATTAAACATAATCGACATCAGTACATCAGCCATTTGAAACGATGCTTCGCTGCCATACAACCTTGATGATCTATGAAATAAAGAATAATAAGAGGGAGAGAAAAGGGACTTATCTGAAAACCTTAAAGTCCTAAGCAAACATTCTGAGTTAAGGCGCCTACAGCTTGTGTTAACAACACCGTCACAAACAGCTGGCTATCGTGTAAAGATAAGGCGGCATCGGTGAGACAGCTTCCTTGCAGCTTTCACTGCACCGCGTCTTAAGCAGCCATTACCCCGCAGATAACTCAGCATGCAACACACTTCAAACAACAGACACGCAGCAGATACGCCACTGGTGTCGTTTGCGAGCCAAGCACAAGGCGTCACGTGGACTCCAGCCCAGAAGGCGAGACGGACCAACGGCATCAAGTCTGGTCGTCAGTGATTCCATTTCCCGCTGCTAAGTCAACTTCTGTCCACCACGAGCCTTGTGCCACCCTACACCTGGCAGACTAAACAGGTCCCTCCTAAGTAAGCGGTGACCAGGCATACGTAACATGTGTCCGAGCCAACGCAACTTATTCAATGCTATCTGTTGTTCTAGGGAGCTAGCATGATTATCACTGCCTAGTACTTACCTACCCACATCATTGTTGCGGACACGCTGGTGCCATCCGACACCAGCAATGCTTCGCAGACAACGATGATCAAAGATTTGAAGTCGCCTCAGATCTTCAGACAGAAGGGGCCAAGTTTCATTACCAGAGAGCAGGACGGCCCTCACTGTGGCCTTGTATACACGGCCTTTCAGACGGCGGGAAACTCCGTTCTGTCTCCAAAAATACCACAGGTTTAAGAAGGCAGATCGAGCGCTTGCAATGCGTGAGCTGACGCCAGTTTCTATGCGCCCATCATTGCTGATGCAGCTGCCAAAATAAGTGAAATGATCAACCACTTCGAGTTTCTTGTTATCACGGGTCAACGAGTCGTAAAGTGGTTGGTGGCCCTGCAACAACACTTTGCACTTTGAAAGTGCGAAGTGCATACCAAATAATGGGACCACTCTGGACAGGATATTCAGGAATAGTTGTGCCGCCGCAATATCGTCGAAAAGCAAGACGATATCGTCCGCATAATCAAGAGCAACTAGTTTTTCACCAGGCAGTACTTCAATGCCTACACCGTGAGATTCCGCAAGGGAACACTCCAGGATACAATCCATGACGAAATTGAACAACAATGGGGCAATCGGACAACCCTGACGAACGCCACTTGTGGTCGGAAACCTATCCGATAGGCCACCGTAGACCCTGACGCGGCCTGTAGTGTTCGAGTATAGAGCAGGTAGGATGTTCACATATTTCGTGGGAACACCATTCCGCGCAAGTAGTTTGAACAGAATGCATCGATCGACTGAATCGAAGGCATTCTTGAAATCAAGGAGCACAGCTATCATCGGTCTGTGGTATGCGTGGCGATGTTCTAGCACCTGCCGCAGACCGAATATATGGTTTATGCAGCCACGTCCTGGGCGGAAACCGGCTTGCACTTCCCTAATCCGAGATTCCCGTTTCACAGTGAGGCGACGAACGAGAATCGAGGCGTTAGGCTAATATCCCTGTGGTTAGCAGTCTGTGCGATTGCCAATCTTGTATATTGCCACTATAATCGATTCACTCTAGTTAGCCGGGGCACTATTCCTTCCAAATACATTCGAACAGGAGGTCCTCACCTTCATCCTTAAACAGTGCAGGTGGGAGAGAGTCCGGGCCAGCAGTAGGAAAACAATTGAAGGCTGTGAGCGAGTTTCGGACCTCGGCCTCCGACGGAGGCTCTAAAGTAACCGTCCATGGCACATCCTGTATCACCTGAGTAGGAAGAGATCCGGAAGTAGGGGCCAATTGAAATGATCCCGAAACTGCTCAGCCCAATGAGCCAAACGGTGCTCGTTTATGTGTATCAGTGCACCCGCGCTGTCTCTGTTAATCTCACTAACGCCTGGCTTCCTGGGACCAGTAGTGCGGATCAGCTGGAAAAGCCTGCGGCAATTGCCTACTGCTCCGGCCCGAGTGGTCCAACATACTTCCTTGCCAGCACGTAGACTCCGCTTCAGTTCGCGCCTAATAGCCCGACTGGTCACACTGTGCTCAGAGCCAGCCGAGAACTTTCTTCTACATTCCAACAGGTTCACCGACCTCTCAGATATACAGTGACTGGTGCGATGATGATTGCTAGTGCCAGAAGCAGACGCGTTTGCGTCGTGCATGGCGGCCAAGATTCGATTCCACTGAAGTTCAGTGTCATTAGAACAAGACAGCGATAGTTCGATATGCAGTGAGTTTTGGTAGGCTTGCCTGACCAAGGGCTGAGACAATTTCTCAGTTGCCAATCGGAGAAGACGCTTAGTGCGCTTCCCGGTAAAGTTCATGGAGGAACGACAGCGTACTGAGGCATGATCAGAGTCGACGCAGGTATTCCAGTACCAGTGGAAATCCAGGATGGAACGACGCCACCTGTAACTTATGGCAATGTGGTCCATTTGGATCCATCGCTGGCCAGCTACAGGAGGACAACAAGTGGCACTTCGGTACCCACTGTGTCTAAAATCAGTGTTATTAAGTAACTACTGGTGCTCCGCATAGTGTGTGGGCAGTTGTTCGCGGTTGCCAGTCCGTTCGGGGTTAAGCCCATAAGTACCACGTAGCGGAGTTTCTGAAGAGGTCATACACCCTACTTCCGCGTTCATATACCCTGCGAGTATTATGACATCTGAACTGATAGCACTGTGTGGTAGCGCGTCCAGATTGTGATAGAATGTGACCTTGGCAGCATCAGAACTGCATTCGGTGGGAGCATAAGCGGAAATCACAAACAAACAGCTTTTTGTACTGCTTCGTGATTCAACCCTAGCTGATGTCGCCAAGCGGGCTGTACACAAACGGAATTCACCGGAATCCAAACAACCAACGATGGCTCGGCCTCGGAGCTCAGTATGACACCTACCCCAGCTTGACCGGTGTGTGCTGCATCAGCGTCTCTGAATACGTGCAACTTATAGCGAGAGGACAAGCCGGGCGCAGTTAATTCAACAACTCCATTCGGGTCACTGATCCTAGTTTCGGACACACAACACACGTCAATACCCAGTGAGTCCAACTTCGGTGCGAGTGCAGACTGTTAACCTGTTTGTCTTAGAGTGCGAACGTTGAACACCGCCAGGGAAACGGGACAACATGGCCTTGTCAGGGACCGTTGATGATAGGCGTCCAAAGGGTGTTGCAAGAAGGTGGCTGCAGATGGCTCTACTCCAGTGGCACTTCGGCTGCTGTCAATTACGCTGTGAATTATACTAGGTTATAAATGGGGGTCGGTATGGGAGTAAGAGAAACAGGTGGAAAAGAAAAAAGGGAGGCGCCAACAGCAGCAGGTTTGCGCATATCTGCCCTGCTGTGTGCAGCAGATAAAGTGGTGAGCTGCGCGACGGCCGATGTTGTTAAGGTTTGGGGAAAGTGTTATGACTGTATGTAAGGTGAGACTGCCAGAGCGTTCAGATCGAGATAGGAGGACGATTAGGATCCTCATCCAAAATCTTTGGCTCAAAAGCCTGTCTGCAAGGCGGCAGGGAGGTGGCAATGATTTAGTTTTACAGAAATGGACGCTATCCCATTTCAAACCCCCAAACTGGAAGACAGGAGACTGAATTTGTCTGACCTCTGACCGCTGACCAACCTAGTAGCAGTAGCTCTCAAGGAGCCAGCAGGCACCACCTAGTATAGCTCAATGGGTCAAGGAGGTACGCAAACCGTCGCACTCCGTTAAGATCCAGTGTCGTTGCGACGACTATCACAAAAGCTGAGCTCCTATGGTGTATCTGGTCGCACCATTCCCTGGGTATCTGCATCCTTGCAGGGAAGAGAGCGTTGGTCGCAGCTTTTCTTTTAAGCACGCGGTCCTTAGCGGTGTCCCACAGGGCTCGGTTCTTAGACCGATGCTGTTCTCCATCTACGCAACTGACATACTTGGGAAGCTTGGGGTAACATCACAACTGTTTGCTGATGACCTTAAGCTGTGGAATGTTGTACATGTCCAAGGGTGTTTTGAGGTCATTCAGCATGCCATGAACAGACTCTGGGAGTAGTATACTTCGTGGCTACCGCCTATAAACCAGGCCGTGATCCGTTCTTCGTATAAGAGCAACTTTCCCCCGTCGAGGTACGTGGTCAGTGGGATTGAACTCCCTATTGTCTGCAACCAGGTCGACCTCATCATCATCATTATACACATTAGCTAGAGGTGGAAAAAATCACAACTTCTGTGCCGCAATACATAAAAGAAAAAAGGGTAAAGTGCAACAGGTGCAAGCCAGCTGAGCTACCGGTAACGGATGGGCATCGTTCCGGTAGGCTACCAGCTGGCTACTATCAACAGTCTATTAGCTAGACAAAGAGCCAGCGGCTACTATGCAGTAAAAAAATTACCATGCAAAAATATATAAGGCAAATAGTGAGACCATGGTTGGAGGGGAGGCTAAGATATGGGACAAAGAAACTCAGCAGGAACGCCCCTGAGGTCGGCTCCTAGCCATATCAGCAAGTGTGTCCAACCAAACGTGTTCATCGCCTTTCGGACCCTAACGGGGGAGCCAAAACGCTCCAACCGAGACCTGCTCAGAAGTGAGGGTCCTCAATCCTCTCAACCAGGTCATCGCTTGGCCACCCCTCCTCTTCTTCCATCCACACCCCGGGGAGTAAACAACACACGTCGCGGAAGTCGGTGGGCTGGCATGCGTAACACGTGGCCGAGCCATCGGAGTCTGGTGCGTGAAATAACCGTGCTGAGCGGTTCAGTACCTACTCCTATTCCGTAAACAAGGCGGCGAACACGGTCGTTGCTCATGCAGTATTCTCACCAGATGTGAGTCGAATTGCGAAGGCACCGATGGTCGAACGCAACTAGCCTCTATATGTGCGCTGATCAAAGAGGTCAGGTTTCACAACCGTACAGTAGGGTCGAACGTACCGCTGCATTGTACACTCTACCCTTCAGGGGAAGAGTGATGTCGCGCCGGCGCCATAAGTGGCGAAGGTTAGCAAAAGTGCCCCGAGCTTTTGCTATGCGGTTCGTGATCTCATCTTCAATCCCACGGGCGCTGATACAACTACCCAGGTAGTTGAATTTCTGGACGACTTCCAGCTGATCCTCACCAAGGGTCAGCGCAGGAGGCGGTCCAGGTCAATCTTGGAGGAACGCTTTGCACTTCGAGGGTGCGAAGCAAAGCCAGAAATGACAGACAGCCAGTGCTAATCTGTCCAGAACCGCTTGGCACAGATTAGGTCAATAGTGTCAGCATACTCCAAGTCAAAAAGTTGTTCTCCTGGGAGCAGGTCCACACCTATGTTATGTCCTGTGAACGTGATTTTCATCACTTCGTCAATAGTGAAGTTGAAGAGAAAAGGGGACAGCGGGCATTCTTGTCAGATCGCTGGAGATATTAAAGGGCGACGACAGCCGGACGTAAGCTCTTAATCTGCCCGTGCTGCGCGCGTATAATGCTCGCATAATATTTACATATTTCTCAGGTACACATTTCTTGTGTAGACAGTCCCAAAGTGCACGTCTATCCACCGAATGCGAATTGGCGGTAGGCCGCCAATATATGTGACGATGCTCCAACAACTGACGCAAAGTGAAGATGTGGTCAATGCAGCCACGACGTCGATGAAACCCGGCTGCTCTTCACGAATGCCAGTCAGTCTGTGAAGGATGACAAAGGCAAGCAACTTGGAGGCGATGGAGATCAGACTGATTCACCTATGGCTGCCGCATTCCGATCGTGAGCCTCCCTTGAAAATTGGGGCTGACGGAGCTGCTCCAGTCGGTTGGGACAGTTTCCTGCTCTCGGTTTCACTAGTAACTCATATAGGTCATCCACAAGAGCAGGTCCTCCGAATTTGAAGCGAGTCGGAGGAAGATCATTTGATCGCGCGGCTTTACTTAACTTCAACAGTCCGATCTTACGTTCGACTTCTGAGCGAGAGGGTGGATCCAAAGGGACAGCCCATGGAACGGGGAGATCAGTGGCCGGCGAGAAAGCTAACAATTCCGATCGATTAAATTGCCTTTCAAAGTGCTCAGCCCAACGCTCTAAGCGTTTTGACAAGTTGTGGATAGGCTGTCCACTCTCGTCACGTCACTAACGTCACTAACACCAGGTCACCTGCAGTCCTTTTCCCTTATCAGCCGGAATAACTTACGACGTTTACCAAGAACAGCGGCCATTTCCATCTCTGAAGCACGATGAGACCACTAGGATTCGCGGTCTCTCTTCAGGCTAGCACGGAGTTTTGCCCGGAGCCCTTTGCAAGTTTCATTGTGTTTGCTTCCAGCCGGAATATGCCGGCGAGCATCTATAAGTTCCAGAGACCGTGAAGAGACCCAATGTCCATGTTGGTGATTAGACATACCACATGAGGATTTTCCTGCTGCTAGTAAGGTCTAGTGAATTTGAGACCAGTGAGCTTCAATTGCATCCAGTGAGCGCTTACCCAACTCGCATGACAGCGTACTTTGATAGGCATTCAGAACAGTTGGCTTCGCCAGTTGGCAGGCATCAATGCGCTTGCAACGTCGTCGTGGGCGTCCGCCAAAATGCATCCGCATGTCAGCACATACAAGTGCATGATCCGTGTCCCCACATGTGCTCCAAATCGAGCGACAGTTCTGGACGCAGCCTCTCCATCGGTAACTTATCGCAATGTGATCGATTTGCGTCAATAGCTGGTTCGAGGCTGGCGGGCGTCAAGTCACCCTCCGGCGGGTGCTGTGTCGGAAATTAGTGTTCACAAGAAATAACCTATCGTCGTCCATTCCTCCTTCTTGTATTCTGGTGACAACTAGAAGAAGGCCGCAGGTAAGGGTTTCAGAATATTTTGGTTAATACGCCGTTCTTCCAAAGGCTTAACTGAGGTGTAGTTATGTATGTAATCTCAACTGTCTAGCAACTAGACATCGAGCCAATGAAAACCATGGAGATCAGTGGATAAAAGGAAGTCACCGCGTCATAACCATCGTGACAGTAGTTAGAAGTGAGCAACACACTTCAGCAGGAAGAAAGGAGCATTTTGACATAAGTAGAACAAAACATTTTTAGTTTGTTTTTCACACGCCGATTTTGTTCCTTTTTGTCATTTTCAATGTTTGAAGTATTAAACATGTTAACCAATACAATACCGTACATAATTTTTCCAGTGATTCCGGTTGCGGGCCATGTCCTCGAGAGTATTAAGCCATTGGCACTCCCATCTTTGTGCCCACATTCTGGAAAGCGTACAGGTGCAACAGCGGCTAGACACAACGTCAGCGATTTCATGTCCTGTCGCCAAGTGGAAGGCTGACCACGCGGTCGCCTCCAGACAGGTCCTTGGCGAGCGAATAGAGCACGACGAGGTAGACGCTCAAGTGTCATGCGTAGGACCTGACCGAGACATCTCAACTAGCGCAGCAAAACCAGTTTGTCGAAGGGAATTCTCGCATTCCCCAAGATGAGACGTCGAATTTCATCATCATCATCATCATCATCATCATCATCATCATCATCATCATCATCATCATCATCATCATCATCATCATCATCATCATCATCATCATCATCATCATCATCATCATCATCATCATCATCATCATCATCATCATCATCATCATCATCATCATCATCATCATCATCATCATCATCATCATCATCATCATCATCATCATCATCATCATCATCATCATCATCATCATCATCATCATCATCATCATCATCATCATCATCATCATCATCATCATCATCATCATCATCATCATCATCATCATCATCATCATCATCATCATCATCATCATCATCATCATCATCATCATCATCATCATCATCATCATCATCATCATCATCATCATCATCATCATCATCATCATCATCATCATCATCATCATCATCATCATCATCATCATCATCATCATCATCATCATCATCATCATCATCATCATCATCATCATCATCATCATCATCATCATCATCATCATCATCATCATCATCATCATCATCATCATCATCATCATCATCATCATCACATCATCATCATCATCATCATCATCATCATCATCATCATCATCATCATCATCATCATCATACACGTTAGCTAGAGGTGGGAAACACCTCAGCTACTGTGCCGCAATACAAAGAAAAAAGGAGAGAAAAAAACTGGTGAAAGCTGGCTGAGCTACCGGTAACGGATGGGCATCGTTCCGGTAAGCTACCAGCCGGCTGCTGTGCACCCAAAAAAAACTTATTATGCAAAATTATATAAGGCTAAGTAATGAGATCGTGGTTGGAGGGGGAGGCTAAGAGGGATGGGGTGGGACAAAGAAACTCACAGCACGAACGCCACTGAGGTCGGCTCCTAGCCATATCAGCAAGTGTGTCCAACCAAACGTGTTCATCGCCTTTCGGACCCCAACCAGGGAGCCGAGACGCTCCAACCGAGGCCAGCTTCGAAGTGAGGGTCTTCATTCCTCTGGACCAAGTCATCGCTTGGCCACCCCTCCTCTTCTTCCATCCACACCCCGGGGAGTAAACAACACACGTCGCGGAAGTCGGTGGGCTGG